ATAGGAACCTAAGCCCTAAGTCCTGAAGGTAACATTGAGTAATGATGCCATTTGCTTGATTGCTGCTGGTGTGCTTGCATGCAGTCGCCACTTGTGGCCATTGTCCAGCCCCGAAAAAGTGCTGTTCTTCGCTGGGCGAAATCGCGGTTTGCTGTAAGTTTTCTTAACGCTAGACCCTGACTCCCCTAGACCCTAGGCCTAAACCTTAGCCCTAAATCCTAGACTCTAACACGGCGAAACTATAAACCGTAAACCCTAGTCCGTGTATCATGGTTTGCTGCGGTTGTGCGCAGTTTTCGGATGATTACGGGGCATCGTACGAGGAGTTAGTTTCTTTGCCGGCATTGCGTATGTACGTGTTGGAGACCATTCGAGAGGAGACATCGCTCAGCCTAGAACACTTTGAACTGCCCAAGGCTGTTTACTTGGTTCCTCACGCCGTAGAGCTGCCGGTGGGGGTGTTTGACCAAGACAAAAACAGCCCAAGCAAAAGCAGTCATCTCATGAGCAGGCGGCAGCTAGCAGAGGCCTATGCTCAGCCTATACAGGAAATGTATGCGTCGCTGACCCAGTGAAAGCAAATGCAGAATTTACCCTTGACATTTTTACCTTTTCCGCTTTCTTGAAACTTCGCTGTTGTTTGGTTTTGCCTTGCGGGAGTTGCTCGTCGCTGGTACTGCTCAAACCCAGTTGATCCAGATATAGAGGGTAAATAAGTATATATATATATATATATATATATATATATATATATATATATATATATAGCCTTTAGCAGAAAAGTTAAAGGATACAGAAACGAGGGTAGCCGTTGAGTTCAACAGTACCACGCAAGCCTATGGGACCTGCCGACCGGCGCATCCGCACCCAATTATTTTGCAGCATACAAGGCCACATATTGCGCAAACGCATGCTAGTGAAAATAGTTAAGCAACTGCATAAAGAGTAAAATTGTGCCAGCGCCGGCGGGCGAACCGACAGAACTGGCGTTGAGAAGCACCGGCCCGTTACGCTTATAAAATGCGCAACTGATGAACTCTTGAAATCCTACGCGCAGTATAAGCGGCCACATTTCTATGGCTTTTATCTTTGCCAGATCTGGTTTGACTCATACTACAGTGGCACACCTCTCTAAGAAGATGACTGTTTGCATGAAAGATGAACAGGTTTATGAGCTGACAGACTAGCGTTTTTTCGTAACTGTAGCACCCCATGCCTCGGGTGCAGCAATTATTATTGAACATTCCTGCTAACTACAAGCATGCAATGCATGCATACAACCACCCAGCCCCCATTTACGGGTCCTATTAAACTGCCACTGCAGTTCCACAGCAGCCCAAATGGCGTATTGCTGCTCTTAAGGAATCATGGCTACTAGGAGCGATCCAGGGGCAGCGGTGAAAAACCCTCCGTAGCGTTTAAGTTGTATCTCATTCAACAATTAACCTTCAAGAAAGTTGAGCTATATTTGTAATCAAGGATAGCAGCTTATTTCTGCTTGTGTATCCATTCAACGAATAGAACCGTGGCAGAGATCGCAACAGCAGGGCAGTGCAACTCACCCTTTTCGGGGGAAAACCGTTGACGACGCATGAATAGAAAATCAACAGAACCCCGAACGGTAACGTTCTGAATTAATCTAGTGAATGAATATCTCGTAATAGATCAAATTCGTTGCGTTTTTGTGCTATATTGCAGATCGCCGGGTTTTTAATTTGTGTTATATGTTTAGATACTTGAACAAACATTATCCGGTGCATATGCAGTAAGGTGGTTTATTAAGCCTTTACAATAACTGCTAGTTCTAAATGTTTTTGAAAGCCTATTGCTCCCAGAAGCGGATAGAAATCCGGAGCACAAACGTCAGCCAGGAAGCCCTGAGCACTGCGTATTTAAGGAAAGGAAAAAGAACACTGCGTATTAGGTAAAGGGAAATAGAATAGGGCTTTTGGCTACGAGGCGAGGAAAGAAAGTTATCAACCACAACAACAGGATTCTTCAGCTTTGACACGACATGAAATCGAATGCAGTAAAGCACTCGCACGGAAACATTTCACTCTCACATCAGCACGAGAATAAGCCCAGAACAACTGCAAATGCAACAGCCGCCAGACTCAACACAGAAGAAGATGCATGCGACGGCACCTCAACCGTCGGAAGGGTTGTTCTTGTGGTGCTTTTTGTGGTTGTTGTAGTTGCTGTTGCTTCTGTTGTCGTGGTTGTTGCTGTTTCTGTTGTGGATGATTCTGATGTGGCTGCTATTGTCGTTGTTTCTCCTGTTGTCGATGGTGTTGATGCGGGTGTTGTTGGCGATGTCGTGGTTGTTGTTGTTGCTTCTGAGGTAGAAGACGACGGATCCGTCGTGCTTGTTCCTGTGCCACTGTCGCTGGTGCCGTCGCTGGTGCTGCCTTCGTGGGTTTCCGCAGATGCATCCTGGGGCTCACCTGCAAAGCACGCGGACAACAAACCTCTGAAAGCAGATCAAGCGCTGCTGCGTTGCTGCCGTCGTCGTTGTCTGAACATCTTTTCCATTTGCCTGCTGCTTCTCTCTTTTGTGGTTTCCTACTTGTCGCTTCCCTGTACTGCTTCGCATCTTCGCCTGCAAGCAACGAAACCCGCCAAAGCGCAACTCGGGGCCCATATATGTACAAGTGTGATTGCTGGGGGGTAAACAACTATAATATTAAAGGAACTCTGTCTCCGTGTAGCAGCAATAACATCATTGGCGTGGTGTTTGTTGCATTGTTCGCTGCACAAGTGTAAGAAGAAGTGACGCTTTTTCAATAGAAAATGTTTGAAATGGCGTTGAAGCGAAGATGTTATATTCTAGGAGGAGAAAAAAACTATATATTAATACGAGAAGGTTCAGAGGTATACGAAAAGACTACTGCGGGTTAATGGCGCATACAGTGTTTAAGTAATTTCCTTTCTGTTTGTTTTTTCTGCCTCATTCTCTTTTCTTCTATATGAAGGTAGCGATGAAGGCGTACCTGTATTGACTCGTTCTATAAAAGGGAGGCTGGCCTCAGTGCTCAAGGCACAGAAAGCTGTAGCTAAGAGAACAGCGAAGAGTCTGAGCAGCTCCATTTTCAGTTACGGGAAACAATGAAGTATACTGGAGAGGAATGAAGATAGAAATAAAGAAATTAATGAAATATTACAATTCAAATGAAAAAACTATGACGCAAACGTATATAACCTATTCAATACTTGAATGCTGCACAATCGGTAAGCTTCAGAACCACCTGATCAGGGGTCGATGCCTATACAGAAACAGCAGCACCTACAGAAAAAAAATAACTGCGAGAGCAGTTTCCCCTTGCTAGCGTTGATAACAATGAAAAAAAAGTAGGAAATGATATTCTAGACGGGCGGAACATTTATTTTTCNTTGCTAGCGTTGATAACAATGAAAAAAAAGTAGGAAATGATATTCTAGACGGGCGGAACATTTATTTTTCTGCATTTCTTCCGTTGACCAGAATGAAGGAAGTTTCAAGAAAATGTATTTTTCTGAATTCTCTACAGAGTTTATGTATTTTCAGTGGTGCATATGGATACAGTTCAAAAGGGGTGAGCCTGATGAATGAGTTTTGTAAGAAAGAAGAAATACATCTAACAACATAAAGCAGACTAAGCCAAGTCTGTGTACTGGTGTGCAGGCGTACGAGTTCTGGGGGCTACGTAAATGTATAAAAACAGAGGTGTTAGTGCATGCAACAGAAAGGGCTTGTTGCTGGGTTCTATGATTGTGTATGTGGATGCTTTGTATGAGGAGTTACAGCGAGGTGTGTTGCTGCAATTCACAACAGCATCTGTTTCTGTGTTTGCTTTCCTATTCCTATTCCTGTTTGCCTGTGTGTCTACGACGCCTGGAGCCTAAAGGGGAGGCAATCAACTNGTATTTCAACTCTATTTCAACAAATACAGTTTATATTGTACTATCACTGACTGTATGTATACGCACTTTATGTTTTTCCTGAAATATCACCGTGGTGGGTTTCCGAGGGTTTGCAGCTTGTTGACTTGTATTCATTCGTTTTACCCTTTTAAATAGAAACTATTTATTTATTTTATTGTTTAGTTTTCTTTTTTCTCTCTACTTTCTTTTCTCTCTCACCAAGCACTTGCACGTGCAGCATCGCCGCGTCGCGGGGCTGCTGTCTGTTGGTTGGTTTGTTTGTCTTATTTTGGGGCTTCGGCAGGGAATCCCGATGTTTTTGTTGCCTTTTTACCTTTATATTTTATTGAGAATATTTAAAACAACTTTTTCGTTTTATTTTTGTTGCCTTTCCAGCTCTTAATGCCGAAACGCGCATAGCCTCACCGCTGCTTGCTGCATGCTCAACCGACACCTGCAGCATCGCAGCTTCGAGGAGGTAAAACCTTTTTTTTAATTTACTTTTTTAATTAATTTATTCAATAAACAACTACAAACTCAAACGGAAACACCTTCACAGCAGCCAGGGAGCTGCCCTGTCTGCCTCCAGCAGCAGCGGCAGCAGCANCTCAAACGGAAACACCTTCACAGCAGCCAGGGAGCTGCCCTGTCTGCCTCCAGCAGCAGCGGCAGCAGCAGCAACAGTAGCAACAACAGCACAACCAGAAGCAGCACCAGCAGCAGAAGCAGCATGAGTTAGTAGCTGTAGATAGGGATATCTCTACGCATAGCTAGCTTCCTGCTGCCTCTTATCAGACCACAAACAAAGCGAACACTCTCTCCATGCATTCGCAGGGGCCCCGCGGTGCTGGGGGCCCCCCCGACACCCGCGATTTGCCCTCCGTACCCACTGCTCAGGGGCCCACCCCAGGGCCCCCTGCGCCGCCAGGTCCTCCTGGAGGACCCTCTGGAGGGCCCCCTGGAGGGCCCCAGGGGGGCCCCCCGGGGGGCCCCCAGGGGGTCCCTCCCCCCCCGCACCTCATGTTCCCGCACTCTCCTCTTATGATGCCCCCCGGTATACCGCTGCCTATGGGGGGTGTTCCCCCTGCTTTGCTGCCTGGAGCTTTGGCGCTGCACCACGCTGCAGTTGCAGGTGCTGCTGCAGGTGCAGCAGCAGCAGCAGAGGAGGCCCGAATGGCCCACGAACGTTCTTTTGGTAATGCAGGGTCCCATGGGGCCCACGAGGGGCCCCCTCACCCCTCAGGGGGCCTCCATGGGGGCCCCCCTGAGAGGGGAAGCAGAGCGGGGGGCCCCCGGGGCCCCTCAGGGAAACGACACAACGCTGAGAGGACCAGTGGTTCCTGGCGCCGGCTGTCAAGAGAAGAGAGAATGAACCGAATGCAGCAGATGCAGCAGCAGCAGCAGCAGCAGCAGCAGAGGGGCCGGGGGGATGGTTGGGGCCCAGGAAGCAGCGGCAGAGACAGGGCATCGGGGGGCAGCCGCTGGAGAGGAGGAGGGGGCCCCGGGGAGGGTACAGGGGCCCCCATGAAGAGATCACGTGCTGCGCTGCGGGGTTCCCGGGGGCCCCCAGGGCCCCCGGGGCCCCCCTCTGCGGCTTCATCAGATTCTGAGCTGTCGCTGATGTCGGTAGCATCCCAGGAGCAGGAACAGCAGCAG